CGGAGCAGTAGTGGAGGGTACGTTCCTTGTGAATTATTTTTCCGCTCATATTCTCTTCGATTCGGGAGCTTCACATTCCTTCATTTCGTATGATTTTATGACTAGAGTCTAGCTCGTAGCTCAGGCATTAGTCACCCCTTTATCAGTTTCCACCCCTTTAGGTGATATATCGCTTCTGGAGAGTGTTTGTAGGAGGTGTACTATCAGTGTAGATGAGTCAGAGTTCGTCGTTGATTTGATAGTGTTGCTTATGTCCGAGTTTGATGTCCTCCTTGGTATGAATTGGTTATTTTCCTACCATGTTAGTATTGACTGCTTTGCGAAGACAGTCAATTTTCGGGCGTCCGATGGGTCCAAGATGATTGTGGTAACCTCTTAGGGCAACCGTTTTGCGGAGTCATTTTTAGCGTACATCAAGGAGGTGATGCGACGGGATCAGGGTGCTGATTTGTTGGAGACTAAAGTTGTCTCAGAGTATCAGGATGCTTTCAGGACATACCTGGGTTACCTCCTGTGAAAGAGGTCGAGTTTTGTATTGAGTTACAGCCGGGCATAGCCCCGATATCCCACGCACCCTATCACATAGCACCAGCTGAGATGATGGAGCTTCAGACCCAGTTGAACGAGTTGTTAGTTCAAGGATTTATTCGTCGGAGTCATTCTCCGTGGGGCGCGCCAGTTCTCTTTGTGAAGAAGAAGGACGGCAGTATGAGATTGTGCATTGATTACAGAGAGTTGAACAAGATCACTATCCGGAATAGGTACCCATTACCTAGGATTGATGACTTGTTCGATCAGTTACAGGGAGCGTAATATTTCTCAAAGATTGATCTTCGATCTGGTTATCATCAGTTGCGGGTTTGGGAGATGGATATTCCCAAGACCGCTTTTCTTACTCGATATGGATCATTCGAGTTCATGGTCATGCTATTTGGGTTGACCAATGCACCCGTGGTATTAATGGATTTGATGAACCAGGTTTTTCGTCCCTTCTTGGATTAGTTTGTGATTGTTTTTATCGATGATATTCTCAT